TCCCCTTAATGAGGATTAAGGGAGGTATTTATAACCTTGGGAAACGTGCCCATCCTAGGTTTAGGTAAACCTAGGGCCGATTGGGCTTCCCTCGGAAGTTGGGCCTGGGTGGCCGGTTTCTCCATTAGGCATGGAGTATGCCACATGTCTTGACATAACAGGTCCAAGGTGGACGAATAAGCGCGTGCCACGTGGGAAGCCCTGGCTGTTCCAATTATAGGGACACTTGGCAGGACCTGATTGGTCCACGTGGCGCATTCCGATTGGTAGGAGCAAAATCCCCTAATCATTATGGAGTATTATTGATATCCCTCTTTGGACCACTTCTGCCCAAAAATTATTCTCCTTGACCCTATTATCAAAACTATTGAGTTCTTTTTCCCCAGAAACATGATGAACGAGGAGGAACTTAAAACCTACCGTGAGTTTCAAGCCACCCACTCATACGTTTCTCTTCAAACTCTTATGACACAATCACCTCAAAAAAAGTGTTAGACATCCCAGTATCTTCACAGAGAAACCCAGCTCATGGTTGGCCTAAACTTTAAGGAGTGGCAGTGACCACTGCTCACACCTCCTCAAATTCAGAGGAAATGGGAGAGGAAAATCTGAACATGGAGGGAGAGTTAAGCTCTCCAGCATCTGTTGAATCATTCAACACAGCACCCTCCTCAATTTCCTCTGACTCATTGTTGCCTGCTCTAAACCTGAGTAAAATGGAAATAGCATCCAGTGATGAATCCTCGGACTTTGAGCAACAATACCACACTCATGAGGAAAAGAAGATGTTGTTCAAGAGAAGGAAGGGTCGTAGGTTTTCTGAAAAGGGAACAAGAAGGAAGGGTTGGAGTCCATGTGTAGAGGAAGATCTCAAAAGAGTGTTCAAAATGGATACATACAAGTGAAAAGGACAGCTGAAGGTGAAGAAGGAGGAGTGGTGGAGGGGAAAAGGAGCAAACTGGATCATGTGCAGCAGGTGTGCGACAACTTCAGATTTGGGGTTAGCAAAGATGATGACTTGTGGGAGAAGCTCATGGAGATTGATGAAGGAAAATCATCCACAAAGATACAAGTGCTCAGGATAGCAGCGAAAGAAGACCAAATGGACTCGGATGGAGAAGTTTCGAGAAAGGATCCCTTTGCTCCAAATGAAGAAGGCGCGGTTGGCCAACAACCTTTGGGTGGAAAATGAATGTCCTAAGGTGGAATTGTAGGGGAGTGAGTGATCTAAACTCCCCAATTTTCCCAGTAATTAGATCACTAACGGCTAGGATAAATGTAGATGTTGTCTCCTTAAGTGAAACTAAATGTAATTTTGAAAGTTTAATCACCATGTTTAGTAGAATGGGATTTGTAGGAAGTACGGGGTGCAATGCTAATGCCAGCAAAGGAGGTCTGTTCCAAGGCTGGTCGAATAGGGTGTGTCTACAGGTGGTGGAAGTCCACCCTTTTGTCATTTTGTGCTCTATTAATCTACCTGAGGTGTTAAATATTATATAGCCTGTGTGTATGGTAGTCCTTATCTGAAATCTAGGGAAGAAGTGTGGTTAAAGTTGCATGAACTTATGATTAAATATAAAGGAAAAACAGTGTTGTTAGGAGATTTCAACTAATTGGATTCTCTTGACCAAAAGCTAGGGGGGAGAGATTGTATCCCTGGTTTAAACATGTTTGTGAATTGGACAATAGATAACAAAATTTTTGGGGTACCATTCACAGGACTTAAATACACATGGTGTAATTATAGGAAAGAGGATCCAATTTATGAACAACTGGATAAGGCTTATGCAAATAATGAATGGAGAGCAACTTTCCCAGATGCCATTATGTTGAACCTCCCAATCATGTTTTTTGACCATGGCCCTCTGATCCTCCAACTAGAACATAAAAGGAATAAAAGATGTACCCTACAAAATGGAAGCCTGGTGTATGAAGTTGGAGGAGGTGAAGGAGCTAGTTAATTCTTCTTGGGCACAAAACGTGCAAGGATATCCTATGTTTAGTGCCCAGAGAAGGATTTCAAGGTGCTTAAAAGAGCTAAAACATTGGTTCCTACGCTATAAAAATACCCATGAGGTAGGGAACTGACAGAAAGTGCAAGAACAGTTTGAAGTTGCCCAAAGGCTGGGAGATATAGATGCACTTCAGAGAGGGGTCGAGATAGAACAAAGGAAATTATTGGAGGAAGAAGCTACTATGAAGTGGATCTTTTGGAAACAAAGAGCCATATCCAAGTGGAATTTGTATGGGGACCAGTCCACTGCCTTCTTCTTTAAAAGTGTGAAACAAAGAGCATCCAAGATGGAGATAAGGGCCTTACAGAACGCCCAAGATGAGTGGGCCACAGATAAGAAAGCTATGTCTAATCAATTTTTCTCCCATTTTGTTGCAATGTATGAAGGTCCTCAACGTTCCATGGAGGAGACCCATCATAGAGATGGCCTAATCAAAGAATGGCTACAAGACATCCCTAAGCTAACTTCAGATCAAATCTTGTGGCTTGAAAGGCCTTTTTTAGAGAAAGAAATAAAGGCAGCAGTGTTTGCTCCTCATCCCCTGAAGTCTCCAGGTCCGAATGGAGCCCCTCCACTTTTTTTCCAGGAGAACTGGATGGCAATCAAGAAGGAGATCATCAAAGGAGTCCAACACTTCTTCAGAACATGTAATATGCTTAAGGAGGAAAATAAAACATTTATAAATTTGATCCCCAAATTGAAGCAACCTGCAAAAGTAGATGAGTTCCGTCTAATAAGCCTATGCAATTCTTTTTATAAAATCATCTCCAAGTGCTTTGTGAATAGGCTTAAGGGTAATTTAGCTAGCATTATTGGAGGCTTCCAAAATGCTTTTGTCCCGGACAGACTTATGATTGACAACTGTTTTGTGGCTCATGAGATTCTGAATCATGTCAAGCATAGAAAGAAGGGTGGCATTTTTTAAGCTATTCTCAAGTTAGATATAAGTAAGGCTTATGACAGAGTAGCCTAGGACTTTGTGGATAAGGTTCTAATCCAGATGTTCTTTCCTTTAACCTGGAGGATGTTGATAAAGAAGTGTATTTCCTCAGTATCCTACTCAGTTTTAGTTAATGGGGAACCAACAAGTTTCTTCTAATAAAGCAAGCTAATGCCCTGATCACCAGGTTCTGGTGGAGATCTAGTTCAGAGGGGGGATACTTAAGTTGGAGAAGATCTCATGTACTGCAGCTACATAAAAACGAAGGAGGAGTTGGACTTAAAAACATAGAGTATATCAATACTAGCCTCCTCATGAAACAAAGTTGGAGAATGTATAAGAACCCAAATAATCTAGCCAGTAGAATGTTCATGGCAAAGTATGGGAAGGATCCAGTGAGCCTGGGAATAAAGTCTCAAAGGTTAAAAAGGGGTTCTTGGGCAGCTAAGAGTCTGGTTCAAGCAGCCTACTTTCTCACGTCAGGCATTGGAAGAAGGATAGGGAATGGAAGAAATACTCTTGTGGATTAGGATATTTGGGTAAAACAAAAGAAGATCAAAGTCAAGCAAGGAGTAGTTAATGCACCAGGAAAAGTGAGTGATCTGATAACATCAGACAAAAGATGGAATGCAAGACTAATCTGGAATTCTTTTGAAGAGAGTACAGCTAGGGAGATCCTTTCAATCCACCTTTCAGAGCAGAAGACAGAGGATGGATTCTAGAGAAGCAAGGAGAATACACATTCAAGTCTGGATATTGGCTACAAATTGCTAACCAATGAGAAACAGCTTGGAGGCCAAACAACAAGTTGTTTTGGAAGAAATGGTGGAGATCACCACTACCACCTAAAATAAAGCTATTCATGTGGAAGCTAGCACATAATATTATCCCTACCAAAGAAAATCTTGGGAAAAGGGGTATAAGAATTGAATAGAGTTGTGTCCTCTGCAAAAAGGAGCCTGAAACTATGAACCATCTGTGTTATGCACTGTGAAATTTCCAGGAGGATGTGGCTAGCCTCCACTCTAGGAATTAATTCTTTATCAGCCAATCATTTGTCTTGCAGGGAATGGGCAGCGGATTTGGTTAGCTATTGCATGGATAATTTGCAGGAGAGTCCTACAGTGCTAGTGAATTTTGTGGCAATTTTGTGGGCAATTTAGCTACATCGCAATGGAATCATCTTCAAAGGCGTGAGTGTCAACCCCCCAAGGATCATTGAGGCAACACAGTTACACGCTCAGGAATGGGGAAAATCCAAGGAAGAGAAAAGACCCTCTGCAGCAAGGAGCAGAGACCAGGAGCGGGATGCAGCCTCCTAGTAGTTTGGCAGATAGGAAAAGCATCGACAGGACCAATCATTAGCATTTTTGTTGATGCGGCTTGGAAGGAGCAGAAAGGAGCTAAAGGTAGGGGGTGGAAATCAGCCATAGCCTGGGTTGCAGAGGACCAACATCTAAGACATATCCAAGGAGCAGCTAGAGTCTTTGCAGCATCCCCTCCACAGACTAAAGCTACGGCTATCCTTCAGACAGTTAAACAGGTGCCAACAAGCTTCAACATCAAGTCGGACTCTTCACAAGTGGTTAAAGCAGTGCGGAGGAAGACATAAAAATTTTAGTCCAAGATATAAGAAGAGAGGCTGAAAAGAGAGATTACCTAGTATGTCTTAAGCTAGATAAAAGGAATGTGTCTTTAGCTCACAATCTGGCTGTTAAGACTACACTAGTAGAAAAAAGCATTTGGCCATCGGTTCAAAACCCCCCTATGCCACCGGTTTTGAACCGGTGGGCATTTGGGGGGGTGGCAATAGTCTGATGCAAAGCCACCTGTTCAAGACCGGTGGCAAAAACTAGTATTGCCACCGATTAACCGGTGGCAATAACCCTTGGCGCTTTTTTTGGTAAAGGTTATTGGCACCGGTTCCTGTTCAAAACCGGTGCCAATAATGGCAAAAAAAAAATAAAAAAAAAATTTTTTTTGCATTTTTTTTCACTTAAATTGATATAAAAACACTAACATATACATAAACTTACATATTTTTATAAAAAAATGATGTAATATTACAATTTTTGTCCAAAAAAATAAAATAAAATACCAGGTTACAAACAAAGAGGCTGCACAGTAGCAGAACAACGCCATGAACATGAACAAGGCGCTCTGAAGTGCCCCTGCTGTAAATCCCACTAAACTAAATTGTACAGCCTTGCATAAAAAAGACAGTACTCTTTTCTGCAGATCAAATTCTCTATAACGATAACTTGCTTCAAATATGTTGTTTGGGAGCTTCTGCAGTCTGTTCTGTAGATCAGAGCTGAAGGTATTGGCATATGAGCAGCAAGGAGCGTGCACGCTACTACTGTGAGTACATTTATAAGTGCTAAATTCCATTCCTCCTTTATTCTGTTACAAACAAACACAAAAACTTTGGTCAGACAGTTGTTTGATGATTGACATTGTAAGCAATGAGATTGTTACATCAGAGGGAATGGAACTTATGAAAGAGTCAATCACTATTATACCTGCCCTTCCGGTTTTTCAGTTTAGACCGAACAGAACAAGCTATAGTGACAAACTGCTCGAACAAAAGCTTATGCAGAAACGAAGGGTCTGCCATTATCCTTGTGAGGCAGCAGCTGCAACAGCAACCCAGCCTTGCGAGGCAGCAGCAGCAGCCTTGCGAGGATGTTCTGCAATTCAAACTTGAACAATGGAACCTGTGATTAAGATGATGATAATAGTTGATTCCAATAAAATAAAATAAATCTTAAAAAGAAATCAAGGAAATCAAGATACATAAATCTGGTAAACAGACTAACTAATTCTATCAAAGCCTGAATCAATTAGCATGAAGATGTTCCCTTGCTCTTTTTTTGACAGAGTTTGAGACCACCTTTTTTTTTGACAGAGTTTAAGACAACCTTATACTACAAGAAACTGAAACACGACATATCTTGGTGTGCAATAACAACCAAAAACAAACATATTCAAGTAGTTCTACAGGTCAAAATTATAGTTAAGCTTTTTATTTTCCCTTACCAAAACAAACCTATTCAACCGGAAAACCATAAAGAGTACTGATAGATAAATTGTCTAATATTCTAGATAACACTATCAAGAAATCTCCCAATCACTAGAATAACTAAGCCACAATCCTTTGTTATGGCCCCTCACTTCAATCATCCTTACTAATTACTACGGGGACCATATAAAATGAACCAGAAATGAAGAAAAGAAATAAAATGTGTTCATATCAGTTCTTTTAACTTGAGCAAAAACCTGGCATTAATCCAGTCAATGGTGAGGAGGATAACTCATGAACCATTTGAAACATAAACAAATCAAATAACCAATAAATTCCACTCTCTCAATCTGCCTATCAGCAAGGAAAGAAAGAAGCCATCACATTACAGGTTACCAGCAGTTCATGTCCACAATATTTCTTCTCAAAAACTGCAAAAACATTCAAATCATCCCAACTCCCAAGCAAATTTTTACAAACGAAACAAACCATAGATCACATGAACAATACATCAATGTAGCATTGTCATTTAAAAGAAAATTATACAATATTATACAATCATCAATTATGTACTCCGCATTTACGAGCCAATTCAATATGTATGAACACTATATCAAATGTGAAATTATAATAAGGGATTAAGGGAACAATGGGACAGCCTTACATAGTACACAAATACACAAGAGTCTCACAACTACCTGATTTCGGGACCGTGACATCTGAAGGTCTGGTGCCCCGGCCTGAGGAGAAGTATTAGTTACATTCTCTCCTTGTGATGGTACCTAAAATCAGCACAATTTCATGACGACATTATTACATTTATAAACTTGACATTTGAAGTTGATCATACAAATATTGTAATAAACCCCAGTTAAAAATTCTGAAAATCAAGGGTATTCCAAATTCACAATTTTCTTTTTATAGATTATTAATACATTAACACAAGTAGGGTTCTTGGTATTACAATCGAAACATGTCTGTCACACATTAACACAACAACCTAATCAATTCCAAATCAATTCAAACCAAAACAAATCAGAATTCCAGGAAATTGAAGCCCAATCTGAACCAGATCCTAACCCTAAAAACACAATTCAGCAACCAAAAAAAAATCGAAAAAAAAATACAAGTACCTTATTCTCGGATTTAAGCAGAGGACTCAAGAAGAGATAGAGAAATGGAGTGGGCTGGCGAATCGCGACCACAGTCACCTTAATCACCTTGGTGCCGTGAAGAGAACATGTTCATCAACCTCATCACAACATAACCCCAACCAAGCTACAGTATGCACGAATCACACAAAGCTAAATTAAGTTCAAAAATAAACTAAATCTTCCTTCCAAAGGACAATGACAACATAGAAGACTTGTAACGGTGAATTGAAGATACTTTTAAAAGTGTAACTATCTGTTACTTGTCATCCTCAATACTTGAGTAAAAATCAAAGAAACAGACAAGCAGCAAATAGCAGTAGTCTTTCTAAAGAAGCCTCTAAGTAACAATCATTTAGTCAAGACTTCAACGCTGACTTTCAAGCTAGTGATGCGACAACTCAATCTAGACAAAAAAAAAAACTAATTTATCACCATGACAACTCATTCATAATTACACTCTTCATAAAACAGTACAATTAACAACAATAACTATACTCCGGGATATAAAAAAACCAAATTAATATAATCTCAAGTAAAAAAAAGATAGATCACAGCTTAGAATACTTCAAGAATCAAAACATCATATCCAACAAATTCCAGCAATATTGTGACTCACATTAGAGCCGGTGTCTACTTTGATATCAGCTGTGACATTGTTGTTTTTCACCTGAGTACTCACATCACCAAAAACAGTTCACCTTTCTTTGTTCCAGTTGAAGTAATAGCCTGCAAAAAACACATAAAATCTTTAATATTAGTAATGAAAGGTTGAATTTCACACTACGCGAATAACGCAATGACATGCAGCACCAGCAGCAGCATCACAATTACTATACTATTAGCATTAGCTAGCAAATTAATCACAAATTAATCAAATAGCAGCATTATATCATAATAACTCGGGTTATATTCTATCGAAGTAATTGCAAAACACATCAATTGCAAAATATACACAATGCAAGCAAACAGCGGAAGCATATCGGCATATAACCAATAGAACTCTATAAACCGGCAAAATAATCACGAAACTAGCAAATTAATCACGAAATTATCAAATTTGACTAATATGCTATAACAATATTTATAAGCTAATCCAAATATTACACCACAATCACAAAATTGAAGAGCATTATAGCTTAAAATTGAACAGTAATAACGAATTTCAGACAAAAAAAGTGGAAAAAAAAAGTAAATAAAAATCAGAAACCCTAGATCTCAAATCGAAGAGCACATACCTTCGTGAAGAATCCCACCACATCTGCAAAGATCTGGCACCAGTAAATAAATAGACTGTCAATTACGATGGTGGTGACAACATTCACAACCGCCGTCATCCTCAAATCCTGAATTCCCCATTAGTGCTGCCAAGGGAGGAGTGAAAGAAAGAATAGTGGAGCGGCGGTAGATGGGGCGGCGGTAGATGGAGCAAGAGGAGGCAAGTGAAGAGAGAGAAAGGAAAGTTTGAGCAGAGAGAAGAGAGAGGAGACGGAGAAATCGAGAAGAGGGAGAAAACAAAGGAGAGAGTACGAGAAGATAGAAGAATAGCTAAGCTAATATAATTAAGAGATGAGGCGCGTTTTTTTTTTTTTTAACAAAGCCACCGGTGGCCTTTACCATTTATGCCACCGGTTCAGTTTGAACCGGTGGCAATTTAAATATATATAATCCCGCCCATTTTTTAAGCCATGAGTTTTCGAAAATCGGTGGCCATTGAGCGGTGCCTTTTTATATTTTTCTACTAGTGCTAGAATCTCTGAATAGTGGGGTGCCTACCTTCTCTGTCTGTCTTAAAATAAAAATAAAAGTGTAAAGTTCAATCATAGATAAATTAAGTTAGAAAGAAAAAATTGAAAAAAGTATAAGGTATGTACAAAATTTAAGAATAAATTAGGAAGTACAGTGAATAAAGTTAAAAAAGTGAGGCTATAATGGTATTTACATATCATCTAAAAATAGAAACAGGAACAACATTTTGGTTCTCCAAAATAGAAAAACGGGAACTATATTATGGGACGGAAGAAGTCTGTTTTTATTTCCCCCTTCACACTCGGATACTTTTGGATTATATTATCCATTAAAAAAAGGTCATACCGGATCTACAAATGAAATTGAAATTAACTACAAGTGTTTCCTTCATCAAAGCTACATACAATCGTTGAATAGAGCTTAAACTGTGATATATTTGTCACACCAATTGCTGGAATATACAACCTTTTTAGAGTGATGGGTCTAATGATTTGTTGTGGTCATAAGGATGATTTTTTTTTTCTAATTTGATCACACGTATTTGAAAATTGACAATCATTGTGATCTCAAATAAATATTTACTAACAATCTGATAATAGGGCAAAAAATGAATTTTTTTTAGCCTAACACACAAAAAAGCCTAAAGAAAAACAAAAAACTTAAGGGTTCGTTTGGTATCGTTGTTTTTTAAGTTTTTTTTTTTTAAATTATGTAATATACTACCTCTATTTCGCATTACTCGTAACATTTGTCAATACTCGCAATAAATGTTTTTTTTTTCCTTTTTTAGTAAGTTTTTAACCGCGAAATGACAAAATTACCCTTACTTTTTTTAAATACATCCTAATTAAACTACAAATCTAATCTCATTGCACTAATCCCAAGATTAATTAATTTCACCCTCATCCCCATTATTTTTCTCTCTTCTCCGCCAATCCCATTTTCATGGTGGGCTCGTGGGTTCAGAGCGGTGAGTTCAGATCGGTGTAGTGGTTTTCGGTGGGGTTCGTCAATGGTAGGTTGGTGGTTTCATATCGTGGGTGGTTTCAAATCGGTGGGTTCATCGGTGATTTCAAATCGTGGGTGGTTTTTGTTTCGAGGTTTTTTTGGAATCCCTCGGGACACTGGTCACGTTCTTGCTGGCAATGAGGCTTGACACCTGCAAAACAACGAATATTCCGTCACCGGAATATTTGCCTCCGACGGTTAAGTTAGTAACCGGAAAACGGAAAGGGTAGAGAGAGAAAGTAGAGAAAGAGGCTGAAGCTCTTAGGTGCTCTATTGAATATTATGTCACAATCCACCCCTCCCATCATAAATGAATGGGGTATTTATTGGGGTGGGAATTTGTGCCTCTTTAGGGTTTGTGCCCTAAATTTTCGTGTCTTGATTGACTGCGTAATCAGGTATTAACACATGTCACCTGGGGCGCCGTTTTGCGGCTTTCAACAAGAATCTCGGGATTTGGGCCCTGATGTAAGATATCCTTTTTTCTCTCATTCGAAGTGCTCTTTGTGAGCTTATTACACGTGCTGTCATCTTCCCATTGGGACACGTGTCACCCTTTGATTGGGACACGTGTCACTATGAGATTGGACCACGTGTAAGGGGTATTTTTACCCTAAACAATTTTAAATTGTGAGTGATTTTTAGATCGGTGGTTTTACATCGTGGGGTTCGTCGATGATTTTAGATCGTAGGTGGTAGGTTCAAATCGTGGGGTTTGTCGATGGTAGGTTCGGTGCTGCGGCTGGGTGGTGGTGCATGGGTTCGATTTTTTGTGGTGCCTGGCGGTTTTGGTGTTGTATTGGGTGGTGGTCTGGTGGTAGTGGGTGGTTTAGGTGTTGTTGTGTGGTGGTGGTAGGTGGTTTAGGTGTTGTTGTGTGGTGGTGGTGCAGTGGGTGGTTTCAGTGCTACTGGGTGGAGCTGTTGGTGGTGGATTATTAGTTTAATTTTGGCTGAATTTGTTTTAATTTTTTTTTGGTTGGATTAATACTTAAATATATGCCCTTATTTTTCAATAACTATGCTTATGAACTTTGTGCCTAGGAGTCCGCAAAACTACTCTTTGTGGCGAGTAATGCAAAACAGAGGTAGTATGTCATAAAATAAAACAAAAACTGGTCAAACTTATTAAATCATGATAATTTTAAAAATTAATAATAGATTTTTTTGGTTTTTGTTTTCAATACAAAAAAACTTAGAAAACTAAAGACAAATATTGATCTTAAATAAGGCCTCTAACAAAAACAACTCCGCCATAGGGAGATGACACGGACATTTACACTATGTGCATAGATTTATTGAAACCTAAATTAAAAAGTTAGAAGAGAGTAGAGGTAAGGAAAGTGTCGGATTATTTAGGATGAGACTATGTCAATTTAGGAACAAAGGGAATATTATATAAAAGTTTGGGGGTACATTCGGTTTGTAGTAATAGGTCCTGTTTGGTAGTAACGTTTGAGGTAGCGATTAGCGTTTTGACTAGTCAAAACACTAGTAGAAAAAATTTGAGTGTTTGGTAAGGTAGTGATTCTAGTAGTAGTTAGCAATAGAGGTAGCGTTTAAGTAGCTTTTCTGAAACGTTAAAAATAGTAGCGGGTAGCATTTGACAAATTTTTATTACTTTTTAAACAATATTTATACGAATTTTGATACGAAATATATCTTAGTATTGCAACCGTTATTTTTGTCAAACACTCATACTATCTACCGTTACTTTGACAGTTAACCTCTATCCACTACTAATTGACCGTTACTCCCTACCTTAACAGTTACCCGCTACTCGATCGCTAAAAGCTATCCGCTACCGCTACTTTTGCCAAACAGAACCATATTAGTGTCAACGAGCTGTATAAGGGTAAATTTTAGCCACTTTGGGGTATCATTTTGTCTTTTTGAGAAAACTTTGAATTCCATACGATTTTTTTTTTATATTTTTTTGACAGCCGGGAAAAAGGGAGATTAGTCCCTAGAAACCTTATAATAGCTAATACTAAAACAGTGAAACAGAGGTAGAAAGGATTGTAATTTGCTGAGCTTTCCCCTGGCATATAAAGCACCTGCTAGATCACCCTGCACCCATTTGGTAAGTCTGATGTCTTGAGTGATCACCTCCAAGTGTCACAGCTGCTTCTCCAGTGCTAAGCTAATACCTGTAACAGATCAAACATAGAGATTACACTATCTGCTGTCTGCATAGGAGCCTCTCCTTGATAAGAAGAGCCATCAGTGTTGTTGAGCACCCAGGTCCATATGGTGTTCTCCCTGCATCCTGCTTTCTTTAAACCCAGAGTAGCTGTCCTGCATTCACAATTCCCTGCAACAAGCTTCACAGTAGTATTATGGCAATGCTTGTTACTCCTTTCATCTCTGTCTTCAAAACCCGGAGGAAAATCATTGTCTGAGTCTGTAGCATCTGCCACATCACTAGAAATGTTGTTGTTCTTGTAAGAAGCCACTTTTTGTTCCTTTTTTTAATAGTGGCCAAAGCATTTTGCTTGGTTTTCTTGAAGATCAGTTCGTTTCTTGCCTCCCAAATTCGATACGATTTTTATGTAATTAAGTAGACAACAATGAAAATTTTATACGGGTAATTCAATCACTAATATTTGATTTTTAGTCATTCAACATGTATTGCATCATTTGTATGTATAGGGCGGGTGACATTTTTATACATTTCGGGTAATTTTTATTCATTTCAAAGATAACTTTTATTCACTTTTAACGCAGCTTCACAATGAATATGCAATATTTATTATATACTCATTTTTTTTTTAAGTTGCAATTAATCGAAAACAATTTAAAAAAAAAGAGTAGTAATTAATCTAAAACGTACTCTCTAATAATTATTGTCCAACATTCCGACAAATTAAACAATAATGCACCGAACTTTTCAACAATTCCACACACTTCACTTACTCCTTTAGTGCCTTACCTAATCCAAAACAAATCCAACCTTTTTCTAAAAAAAGAACCTCCATCACCCAAAACTCATCATATTCATATTTCTCAAATATTTTTCATCTGATCCATCAAAATGGCATCCGAATCAGACTTACCAGAGCTAGGACTCTCACAAGGAGGTCCAACATGGAACCATCTCACAGGGTCCAACAACTGGGAAGGTCTTCTAGACCCACTCAACGACGATCTCCGTCGTCTGATCCTTCGTTGTGGCGACTTCTGTCAAGTTACCTACGACTCCTTCATCAACGACCCTAACTCCGCCTACTGCGGTGCCAGTCGCTACGCTAAGTCAGACATCTTACAGAAGACCTTTTTTCCTGGTGGTGCTGGATAAGTTTCAGGTTGTTGGGTTTTTGTATGCCACTGCACGTGTTGGTGTGCCTGAGGCGTTTCTGCTGAGGTCGAGATCACGTGAGAAGTGGGATAGGGAGTCCAATTGGATTGGATATGTCGTCGTATCGAATGATGAGGTGAGTAAGGAGAGTGGAAGGAGGGAGATTTATGTGGCTTGGAGAGGGACTATTAGAGATTATGAGTGGGTTGATGTTCTTGGTGCTAAACTTCAGTCTGCTAAACCTTTGCTAAGTGATCAAGATGATGATGGTGTTCCTGCTGGTATGAGTTTTTTGTGCTACTTTAATTTCCTGTTTTTAAAAGTTTGTTTTAATTTAATTACTTTGTATTTGATTAAGTTATTGTTTCTTATTTACGATTTGGAATAGTTAGAAACATGGGCTAAAATAAAAAATAGGAAAATTTCACAAGAATAATCAACATTTAGCTTGTTCTCCCAAAATAATGCAACCTTTCAATTAACCTTAAATAATTCTAAGTTTACTACTACTGAGCCTTTTTGACCGGTTACTTGAACTTCAGGTTATTTTTTTTTTTTCCTTGATTAATTTCCCCTGCCTTCTTCCTTCTCCCCTCTTCAACACTATTTCAAGCTTCCAGCCATTAACAATGGCTCCTTCACCTCTCTCAACCTTGCCACCACCGTGCACAACCTCACCTCACCTCACTGTTAGCCTAACCCATTTTCCCATCAACCACCCCGCCCCACTAGCACCTCCTCTTCCTGTCAACTAGCCCGTAACTTAGCCACCACCACCTCCGCCACCACT